GCATCAGACGTTAACATGCAAACTCTAATCGCGCCACCACCAAAGATCCATAGCAAAGCCCTAAATCACGAACTAGGACGCGCACTCAAATCACAGAACCACAACGAGATTTTCTCTAAATTAAAACCTTAGCAGCCACCATTATAGTGTCATCTTCGCCCACTGCAAGCCACCACCTCATAAACACAACTCAATGCGAGCAACCAACCATCATAGCAATGTCAACGTCACGTCATCACAAACGTGAAAACGCGACGAACCACACACATCGCTGCCCATCCATCGTGCCACCATCACCATTTGAAAACACGAAACCCTAAATAACAGTATCACTGCAAAATCAAAGATGAATATAAGTTTTTTAACAACATATAAGTAGATGATTTTCTTCGAATAACCTTTTACTGATTCAATTAAATCCAACTCCGTACACAACGGGTCACATAAGTAAAAACCGCACGCTCATTCAAATGCTTTACTATGTACACTTTTCTACTAACAATTTAGACTCTCCCATGAAAAATGATCAAATTGAAATTTAACACAATCAGAATTACATTGAAAATCCAAAAAGAAAAAAATAAGTTTAACATTGAACAAAGTGAATGCAAATAGGAATCCAAAGAATGTTTAATTTTTTTTTATCTTAATACCAATCCAATCTAACTCACTCTTATATAATTATATTATATTAGCAAAATAAGGTCAAAATTTTTAAATATTTTTCAATTATAGTTTTTAAGTATATCATAATTATAAAATAATATAATTTTTACAAAGATTAATTCAGAACTTTAAGTCAATAAGTCTGATTTGTCCAAAATAATTTATATATAAAAATAAAAATAACACAATTTATCTATAATTAAGGATGACAAAACAAATCAACTCACTAATTCACTAAAAAAAATACATAAAAGACTGAATATTTTATTTTAGATTTAAACCCTTTAGTTGTCCCTATTTATGTGGGTTTTTTCCAATTTGATCCCCGACTTATTAGAATCCTCAATTGAGTCCTTAAAAGTGTTAATTTGAGTCAATTGAGCCCCTGCCGTTAAATTTAGTTGAAACGTGGAATTTGGCAATTTGTAAAATTATAATAATATGAATTTCTGAAAAGCCAAATTCTTTATCTTCTCTAAACAACCAAATTCTCCAAAAACCTCTCTAACGATCTGAACCACCAAATCCCCCAAAATCATCTGGACGACTAAAACTTAACCCCGTTAACTAAATTTTAACGGTAGTGGCTCAATTGACTCTTTTAAAGACTCAATTGGGGATTCTAATAAGTCAGGAATCAAACTGGGAAAAACCCACATAAATAGGGACAACTAAAGGGTTTAAACCTTTATTTTATTAGTTAGTATGCTTAGGTCCACCTTGCATGTTAATGATAGGGCAAGATAAGTTGGCGCACATAACCCACAATAACAAAAGTACATAACTAATAACAAAAATTCAATATATTTTAAACCATAAGTCAATTAAAACTATTTTATTTTCTTTTATTTTGTTATTTCATCACTTCATATTTGAATATTTAAGACAATGCATTTAGCATTTGTTACATATAGTATTTTAGTAGTTTATATAATAATTTATATTTATATTTAATTATTTTTAAAAGATTTATCTTTGATATATTTATTTAATATAGATTTTAATTTTATGTTTAGTTAAATTATTTTAATTTTTATCATTAATGATAGACTCATGGGTGCAATAAAAATACAAACATTAAAAGAAACTTAATTCTTAATTTGGTCATCTAATTTCAATCAAATTTTCAAAAATATTTGTTGTTATTGATTTTTCTAATTTAGTTCTTTAGTGTTTTTAAAGACATCCAATTTGATTTTTTTAACTATTATTAGTTCTTTAACTTTCAATCGTTATTTCTCTTCTCTATCTATGAAGATTGTAACATCCTAATTTAGTAATATAAAACTATTAAAATGATCATTACATAGATAATGATAGAACAGAACTACAATTTTACGAAAAAATAAAATTCTTCACCTGAAGAACAAAAGTATCACCTACACTACAAGCTTCACTCCCAACCTCCTGCTGAGACAACTGAAAGATTGTATCCCTAAGCTCACACCATTAAGGTGATCATCGCAAAAGAGAAACAACAAACAAACACAGACCACATAAATGCAAGGGTAAGCTAGTTTAAATAAAAGAAAACTATTATATTTATCAACTATATTTTATACAAATCATACACAGTCATTTTCAACATATAATACTTGATGCATGATACTATATTGACTTTGACCGTCCGGACTTAGAATGATTGCCGAGCTATGACGGGTCGTGCACTCGTGATGGCTTCTAATACTGCTTTGCAAAGCCATTGCCAATGGGTTTCACCATACCACACTCACGAGGTTAGTTCGTTATCACTCACCTTGGATCATACTAGAAGCACCCAAGACTAGGACCTCATACTACTCCTCACGACATGGATCAATCTTCTCTACGTGAGAGTGAAAGACGATTGGAGTTTCAAGATAACCCCCAAGATTGAGCTTGCTGCAATCATTCTAAACTTACATAGGGCCTCAACGAGAGAATTCACTTTGGATCACAACATAGGGCACCACCATGTACCCTCTTCTTGAGGATCATGGAATTACGTCCATCAACCATAATTTAAAATCACATACTTTGACTTTGGAACATAACTCATAACGTAATCAATCATATACTATAAGACAAACTCAAACATACTTCATAATGCACTCAACAAGTCATTCAGATCAACTTAAGATTAAAAAGAAAAGAGTGAACTAAAACCTGGACTATTTGCTCAGTCTCGCATAACGAATCCAGAGATTTCTCGCACAACGACTCATCTCGCTGTGCGAATAAAACTCCCAGTGATATTAGACCCCAACCCCTCGCATAACGTCCCAAATTCGTATACGAAAGTCTAAACAGTGGTCCAGACCCCCCGAACACTCGCTCTGCGCCACCTTTCGCTATTCGAATTAATTTGACAGTGACCCCAGACCACCTCTAGTCGCTTAGCTAAATGATTCGCTGTGCGAATCATCAAACAGAGAGCAAACCCCATAACCATTCGCACAGCGCACCCTCTCGCTGTGCGAATTACTCAAACACAGAGCAACTCGCCAAGACCATTCGCTGTGCGAATCCATTCGCAAAGGAGTATGCATAATTCTGCAACACGAATTCTACAAAATTAAGCAACTCCACCCAAGTTTACCAATTCTAACTATTTTTCCCAACTTCTAACACTCCTAAATTGTGTTATATACCTAATTATACTTGACTAAACGATTCTAAACCTCCCTAACATCAATCTAAAGTGTTTATGGATCAATTCCTACTATAAAACATCAAATTTATTAACTTAAGGACCCAAATCACAATCTACCACTTTGAACATGTTTTTGACCATTTTGATGACTGAAACAAGTCACACTTGACTTACCAAAGCTATCCCAATAGACCAAAACAACAGCTTCAAATTCTCATTTTCACTACTCTACTTAATGACTTAAACAAAGACAAACTACTACCATTCATAATCAATCAACCTTAGTACAACTTTCCTCTCACAGATTCCCAACCTTTTATACCACCAAAACAGATCAATTCATAATTCAAAACAGTCCAAAATATCAATTCATGCAATTACATTCAAAATCATCAATTCACATATTGTTCATATACCACAAAACATCATTTCAATTCAAATAACTCAAGGATCATCTTTTTCACAAACATACATAAGAAATTACACAAATTAAAGAAATTTCCTAGCTTCCCTTACCTGAGAGACATAGAGCCCAACTCTAGAAAACTACATTTGATGCTTGCACTGCAAGGTAACTCTAGGAAACCCGGCTCAAAACAAGAAATTGATCGGTAGAGATTATTGCCCTTGACGCAAGGATCTTCTAGGCACTTCCTGATCGTCGAATAGATGATCCAAGAGTGAGAAAGGTTAGAGAGATGGTAGAGAACTCTAGAAAAGTAGTTTCTAGAGAGATGGTACGTTTTTAAAATAATGAAACTCGTTTATAACAAAATTATTTATAATAAAACTGTTTAATATTAAAATAATTGAGTCTCACTATTTTTAGACTATCACCACTTTTAAAATATCATTTTGTGGAGTATCACAGAGATCTTATGTTTATTTTTCTTAAACCACCATTCATGATCAAGCAGAAAACTAGCAACCAAATTAAAAAATAGCTAAATTTGATATTTTTTAAAAACTAAAGGATTAGATTGGAAAAACTAATAATTATATGTCTTTTTTGAAAATTCAAATGAAATTAAAAATCAAACCAAAAAATTATTACTGCAACATTTATACCTAAATTTTTTAGATATTTTGTGCGTTGGCTTGCAGACATGTAAACCAATTATCATGTGAAGAGAACAATTAAAATTAACCCACAATTGTTTACATGGGACAAGATACTTCGATTCACTTTTCATATGCCAAATGTAGGACCAGTCAAGTTATTCCTATCTACTTTTCATATATTAAATGTGAAACCAGTATAAATAAAACGTACCATGGGAGGGACTATAGTTCATATTACTGTACAATCCCTATCATGATGAATTAGTTTGAGTTAAGTTAAAACTTAATCCACATTCCAGTTGAGTTAAATAGTCAAATAAACCAACCCAATAAAGATGTACTGTGTAAAATAATTATTTTTTTTTCTTTAGAAAAAAATATAGATAATAATGCGTGAAAACACAATGTGGAATTTTTAAATAACTTAAATTATATACAAATTAAATTGTTTTATTGTTTTCAGTACATATGTTTATTTTGAAAAACTAAATATAAATATATGTATTCGAAATTATTATTTTTAGTATAAATGTAAGTTATAAACTTGTTTGTTTAAAATTTCATTTTTTTATAAATATACAACTGAATAATAATCTATTGCTAATTACCGTCCTCAAGTGCAAATAATGAAAAAAGTTCCTATTTTCGATATCTTAATAACTCAGATGGTACGCCGAAATCAAAATCCCTATGGCTGAGTTGCCTAACTACAAAGCAACGTTGGATTCGTTGATTTCCTAAAACTTTAGTTTTTTTTTCTAATTTGTAGTCGGTGACTCACTCGCTGCGAACCACTTCAAGCCGTCATTTTTCAATCTCCGGTGCATCTTCTATTCTTCAATTCCATTTCTGTTTATGATTCCCTCTGTTTCCGCCTCAAAATCTGTAGGATTCGCCTCCATATACTTTTTATTTTACTTTTTTTTTGTAAATTTATTACTTAATAATTAATTCCATGTGGAAAACTCAAATTCATTTCTGATCCCTACTCAAACCGGTTGATCCATGTTAGGGTTTAGCTGGTGAACCCCCTGTATTGCATTCTTTTGACTCGTACTTTTTCTCTGGGAGATTCAGCTAGTTATTATTATATGAAAATGTGATTTTATTCCTCTCTATTACTTCTAAACGACATGTTTACTCCGAATTGTTGTTAAGTGCAAGCGCAAAGAGTTTGAATTAGTTCATCAAAATCGTAAGTGGTGTTGCTCCAGCCTATGCTTGTGTAGTCGTTCAATCATTGGTTATTTTAATTATTTTATGAAAATATTTTTGGTTGCAATTTAAGATTATTTCATTGGGATCAGAATTGTAAAAAAAATATTGAGAACCGAACAATTACGAGAACCAGAATTTAGGTGAATTGCAATGTTGAAATCGTTTTTGGTGGCTCCTTAGTTGTTTGTTTGCTTTTTTGTTTTGTGTTATATTTACCTAAAATAACATATCATATATTGCGACTGGCAGGAGAGGTTCAAGGCTCTAACCATTTCTTACTATAGGGCACCAAAAGAAATCATTCTAGGTAAATGAAATTGATTTATGTACATAAGAATTTCAGATGATTTCATTCTTCTACATCAGAGACTTCTGTAGAATTTCTTTATGTACAATGCATATATGTAGTTAATTTTCACAAAGAAACGGCAGTTTGCTTCTTGAAAACTATTTAGTGCCAACTATCAGTATGAATACTTGACAATGTTATGCTTCAATCTTTTCTCTAATGTATGAAATTGGACTGGATGACCTCAAATTCAAACAGAGTCTGTTAGTCAAGGATCTCACCATGCAAACAACATCGTATAGTCATCCTTTAATCTGTTTCTCTTGCAGGTTTATACTTACCTTTTCCCTTGATTTTTATTATATAATTTTCTGTTTTCTAAAATTAATGTATATTGAACGTACAATGGAACAATATGTTGTTGCAGAAACATCAGTGCAAATGGGAAGAATAAATATAAGGTGAAATTCTGTGCACCGTTTCCCTCTCAATGGGATCGGAAATGTGAATTCAATGGGAGACCTCAAATTTATAATTCTCCTGGCCCCATAAAACCAAAAAGATTGTTTGTGCTTCATAACACAGATGACAGCCATCCATCTGCTTCTACGGTAGGTGATGAAATGAACACAAACCATGCTCCAAATGGCTCATCACCAGCATTTCTCAGCAATTGGTCACCTCCAAGGTATCTGTGGAGGGGGTTATCAGTTTTAATCCTGGCAGGGCAGGTGATTGTCAAAACTCTAAAGGGAAAGATTCATTGGAGGAACACTCTTCAACAACTGGAGAGAGTTGGTCCAAGATCAGTTGGGGTGTGTCTTTTAACTTCGGCTTTTGTGGGCATGGCCTTCACAATTCAATTTGTAAGAGAGTTCACAAGGTTAGGATTGAACAGGTCTGTAGGTGGGGTTTTAGCTTTGGCTTTCTCAAGGGAGTTAAGTCCTGTTGTTACAGCAATTGTGGTTGCAGGGCGCATTGGAAGTGCTTTTGCAGCAGAGTTAGGAACTATGCAGGTTTCTGAGCAAACTGATACATTGAGAGTTCTTGGTTCAGACCCTGTTGATTACCTGGTGACACCAAGAGTGATAGCCACTTGTATTGCCCTACCTCTTTTGACCCTATTGTGTTTTACATTAGGGTTGGCATCTAGTGCCATTCTTGCTGATGGTGTTTATGGGGTGAGCATCAACATTATCCTGGATTCAGCTCAGCGGGCTCTCAGATCATGGGATATTATTAGTGCAATGATCAAGTCACAGGTTTTTGGTGCTATCATATCTATTGTGAGTTGTGCGTGGGGAGTTACAACTTTGGGAGGTGCTAAAGGTGTTGGGGAATCAACAACGTCAGCTGTGGTTATTTCTCTAGTAGGCATCTTCATCGCCGATTTTGCTCTTTCTTGTTGTTTCTTCCAAGGAGCAGGAGATCAGCTAAAGAATTGCATTTAGGCAACTAATGTTGTCTCTGCAATTTGGTTTTTCTCTTTTGTACAAAGTGAATGGTATGACTTTTCTATAAAAGGTGTGATAAAATTTTTAGAATTTGAATCAGGTGCATTAGTCTTGTTCTTTTCTAGGTAAGTTATGGTTTGCCAGTATTATTTTTATATATCTTTTCTACAATTGCGTTTCCTTCAAACATGGTAAAGACGTTTGTTTTTCCTTTGAATGTGTATTATTTTAATAATTCTTGTAAGCTACAATGAAATGATAAAGAGGCCATGATGTTCTGATCCAGCTGATGTTTGGACATCCAGTGTTGAGCATTTAAATGGGATGGAACAAAATGGAATTAAGTTACCACTCTTTAGATCATTTGATGATGGATTTCAAATGGATCCTTCTTGACTTGTGATTAGGGCCTTGAATTTCTCACTACTTAAATGTGGAATAGAATTATTTTCATAATTTTAGCATGTTTCTTTCATTTCTTCTTAGCTTTGATTCGTGTAACATTCCGTTCTTAATGAAGTATTTTGCTTCAAGATTAGTGTTGCATGGTATGCTTGAATTGTGTTTACACGGGAATATCATCTTTTGGAGTTGTTTTTGAAATATAATATGCACTATATTATGATTTCGATTCTATGATGTCCTAGAGTTCTTTGTGGAAAATTTAAGTTGAACATATATATTGACAATAATAACAATCACCGGGCCTTCTTGCACTTGGTGAGGTTGGTTGTGTAGATAAAGCAACTTGACTGTGTTCTGTAATTGTAAAGCATAAACTACCCATTGTGCCCAAACCTCTCTCTACCAGCCCTGTACCAGCCTTGTCACTGTGCTTGGTTATGATTCTCAGCTATGCAAGGAAATATGCTTAGTCATGAATTCATGATTCCTGATTTGTTTGCCTTTGAACTATGTAATTTGTTTTTATTTATAGTTGTGATGAGTTTTCCCTATAATTGTAGGGTATAAAATGTACCAGTGTATAGAAAGAATTGAAATGAGGCAATCAGTGCCTCTGACTTGGAAATATAGGTGAGTCTAAGTAAATCGAAACTTTCATATCTCAATCATCTTATATTTTGTAGCTATTATTACTCAACTAAGCCTGAGAAATCATCTGAACAATGGTGAAATTTGTGTTCTATTCTTTTCATTGGGGCAATTTTGTGTTAGTAAATCGTGGATTTCATTAATGAATAGTGATAATGACCACTGCATCACCATGGTTTGGTTTTGGAATCAACGGTTTATTTGGATAAAGTTGTTTGACAATAACTGTCAAAATAATGATAACTTAATTAGTAATTTGATTTTTATATTTAAGTTTATGATTCATTTTTATTCTTATATATTTTTTTACGGAGTCCTTATATTTTTTACACAGTCTTTATATTTTTTAAATAGAGTCAATGTGGTCCTTTAGCATTAAAGATGTTATAAAATGTGACCATGTGTAAGTTCAAATTCTATTTTTCCTCTCCAACCCAAGCTTTTTTGGCGACACAATCCCACCATCCTGACAACACCCGCCACCACCACCATAGCCGGACGCCCACCACCACCACCGTGACAGCACCCACCACCACCCACCCTCCTCTCCTACCGATGGCATTGTTCTTGAACCCCCTCCTTCCCCATATTTTTCTCTTATCAGTGTCTCTCCTTCCATTGAGACAGACACCTTTGCATTGTTCCTCTGCTTGTTTTGTATCCACTGTAAGAGTGTGCAAGATTATTGCGCGCTCTCTTTATTTGCATTGTTTGTGGCTGTTGACATACAAGTTATTATGTGGTTTTGTAAGTGAAACTCATCAAGGTTTTCTTTCAAGTTGGACTGCCAAGGGATTAAGCTTTTTGGGACATTTCTTTTTCATCTTGTAGTTTCCCTTTTACAAGCACTGAGGAGAACTTTGACAACCAAAACATGAACTGTATGGTTTAATGAGATAAAGTTTTCACCTTTCATGTTGTGAGGACTCAAATTTGTAGAAATTGGTGAAATTGAGTGGACGGTATTTTCTGTACTTCTATTGGAAATTATTTTCCTGCAACTGGGAAAATATCTATCTATATCTTTCTGAATGCTTCCCTCCATTTGGGACTACATAACTGTGGAAACTGTTTCATTCTTTTTGCAATTAGAACTGCATATAATTGAGGAAAAGAGAGGAGGTTAATTTAATTTATCTTTTGAGCACAATGAATTTTGTTTCAGGATGTAAGTGATTGTGATAATTGAGGGGTCTAGTTCAATTGAAAAGGAAAAAGGTTGATATGGCAGCAAAAGTCCTGCAAATAGTTTTGCAGAAGCAGATAGGATGCATTACTAGGAGGGGAGGAGGGTGGGGTGGTGGTTGTTATCACGGTGGTATGATTTGGACTAACAAATTATCCCTATTAACATCATTAGTTTTATTTAATGGAAGAGATTATATTTACTTTATTTAAAAATATAGAATAAAAACAAATCATAGATTTAAAATCAAATTATTAATTAGAACAAACAATAATTGAAATTCTTTGAACAGACATAACAATGCACAAATCATGAACTTTAACTCTTTGTCATGTTTATTATTTTATGAAATCATCCAACAAGTTGTAGCGTCATGAAAAAAAAAAAGTTAAATATGTTTTTAATCTCTAAATTATCATGCAATTTTAGATTTAGTCAATCTTTCAAACTTTGGTACACTTTAATCATTGTCCTTAAATAAACTATAATTTGTCGTTTTCCAAAATCAACATTGTTAAAATTAAGCTGAGCTGGCAACGTCTGGTCACGTCTGATGATTATCTGTAATGGCTAACATTTGCAACGTTTCATGACATGTTTGATGCCATGTGGTCAGTGAGTAATTTAGTTGAAGCAAATTAGGGTTCCTTACTTAGTTAAATTAGGAATTTTTTTACGCGAATGAAGATTAAGGTTTGTAAGTAACTTTTATCTTGAAGGTCAATCCAAAATCACGATTACAGTTTGTGAGTTAGTTTTGTTTTGATCAATTTGCTTAAGCGCTTGTTGTGGGTGTAGTGGTTGCTGCATTTGGTGGTTTGAAACTCAATTTTGCTCAAGCTTTAACTCAAAATTGATCACTTCAGCAACTTGGTTTAGTGATTTTGAATGTGTTCAAACTCTGAAATGACTGTTACAAAAAATCACCTTACAACTTTCAATTTTGGTTCAAAAATCATGATTTACTATACTATTCTGCACTTAGACCAACATGTCACGAATTGAATCTTGCTAGCAGTTTTAAAACATCATTTTAGATTTGTTTAAACTGTCACACAGAATATAAATGCTACCATTCAAAATCTGCACTTAATTTTCAACTCTTGCAACAACAAAATGGCTTGAAATTGGTGGTTTGAAACTCAATTTTGCTCAACACTGGCTCTAACTCAAAATTGATCACTCCAGCAACTTTGTTTAGTGATTTTAAATGTGTTCAAACTCTAAAATGACTTAAAATCAGACTGTTACATAAAATCACTTTGCAACTTCCAATTTTGGCTCAAAAATCATGGTTTACTATACTATTTTGCACTTAGACCAATTTTTCGTGCTGTAGTAACTTTTGTGATGTTTATCAGTTTAAACAAGTCTAATTTGATGTCTTAAAATTGTTACAACAATTCAATTGAAGTTAGATTGACCCGTGTGCAAATTAGTATGTTAAAACCCTCATTTTTAGTGATTTTGGGAACTTAAAAAGTGAATTTGAGGTGCAGTTCTTTTTTGAGTAGAAATTGAGTTTAAACAAGTGTATTTTGATGATTTGAAAATGTTCAAATGGTTAGTAAAGTGTCAGAATCACTTGTGCACAAAATCACTTCTAAAAACCAAAAATTGGTGTAGTGACTATTCTGTTTAGTGATTGTGTTGGCTGATTTCAATGGTGTTGTGAAGTCCAATTGGAGCATTCAAGTTGCAGATTTGGTCATTACTTAGAATGTTATATTTGTTTGCATTTCTTAATAAAAGGTGGAGTTGGCTGGGACTAAAGCATCAACTTATATCATAAACTTGTAAAGTTCTTCAAACTGTTTGATTTTAAATGACAACAATCATGTTTATACAAATGAACGTGTTTTGTTTAAAACTCCCTAATTTCTACATCTCAGAAATAGTCTTCCTTTTTTCTTCAATGTAGTTGCCTTCAACAACAACAATATTTTCCCACAACCACAATTTTTTGATGTTGCTAACTGAGGAGAGGATCCACATGTTTACGACATTCCCAAACCAATGCTCCTTCGCATGCAACCAAATCCTCCACAGTCAGCTTTCATTTCACTACAACAATGATTTCAAAAGTAAATAACCTAAATCAACTTAGTTTCCTCTATTCCCACCAAAACCCTATATCCCCAATCCATCCCCAATCCATCCCCAATCCATCCCTCCATTCCCATGAAAAACAAAAATCAACTTACATCCCAAAGAAGACCAACTCCAATCTTTTACTCTTCCGCTTTCTTTCAACCTTAAATAATGATTTCATCTCTTTGCCCAATTGCATGCAGAGCACACTTTGGATCTCACATATCACATTGGGTTCAAATTAATAAACCCTTATTCTTAGTTTCTATTGAAAAACAACAACGTAACACAATGTTACCATGAAACATGTTATCAAAAGTGGCCAAACATTAGCCAACTCAGTCTAATTTTAACGACGTTGATTTTGGAGAACAAAAAATTATAGTTTCCTTAAGGACAAGAATCAAAGTGTGCCAAAGTTTGAAAGAATGACTAAATCTAAAATCGCATGATAATTGAGGGACTAAAACCATATTTAACAAAAATAATAATAATAAAAAATGTTATGAAATCCAATACTGGTAATTTCCATAAAATTCTATTATGACAATCTCCGTGAAATACAACTCTATTTGTAACAGAAGAAATGGTGTAAAGTCTTGAGCAATACAAATTTCAAAATCTTCTTACAATCCTTACAAGAGAACCATAATTCTAGAAATATTAATTGGAAAGATCAAACTGATCGTGAAGTAGTTAGCAATTAAACGGGTTAAACTTAATTCCACCCACTCAACTCTTCAAAATCCGTAAGAATTGTCCATGTTTAGGTTGTTTGATCGCTAATTCATAAACAAATTACCCACCCACCTTCTTTTTTAACTTGCTATTAGATTAAACATCAATCTCTTAAGAAATACTTACTATATAGGAGACAAATGCAGTGTGAAATCCATCATTAATGATAATAAAATTAAACAAAGTCCATCTCATCCACAATATCATAATCCCTCATAAAATACTAAACTCTTAAGAAATGCTTACTAATTACCCATTTGTTTTTATTTTCCGAAATCTAAACGACTAACTCTGCCTAAAAAGAACGGTACGCGTTTTACCTAATGATGTGCCAGCGCAACTAAATTGCAAACAAGCCGGCACTCAATACATCTGTTCAATATTTTATTATGAAATATATATATATATATACATAAAAAAGTAGCATGGTAACATGGATACCCTAACTACCCCGACACTATTTAGGGTAAATCAAAACACGTCATACTTTAGTTGGTAAAAATGGTATTATCCTGGAAAAATATAAAAATAAACGAGAAATTGAGTTTTTTCACATAAATTTAAATTATATAATAAAGTTATGTTGAAAAAAATAGGTTAAAATAATTAATATAGTAAAAAATGAAAAGAAAATTATTATAAGTAGTTCCTCAATGCGTGGGACCCGCTTTTTCTTTTTCAGTTCTGGTATTTCCTTCAATTCTACTTTTCCTTTTCTTAGCCTCTCAGTTTCAACCTTTGACCCCTTTCATTGCAATCAATTGAATAATCAATCACAAATCACTTTCCTCTCCCATTATACCCACCAATTCCCTTTTCATTTTTTTTTTCAAATGGGTCCCATCGTCTATCAGCTCTATTGGGCCATGTTATTGGTCATCTTTTGTTCATATCATTCCAAGTTAGCATATTTCTGTCATCCGTCGTTCTGGGTTTGAATTGCATTAATTAATTAACTGGTTTGTTTAATTGCTGATTATTTTCTATCATTACGTAATTTCCCAACACTTGTTTCTTTTTTATCACTTTGCTTATAGCTGAGTTGAGCTTCGTCAAATTTTAAGTGTTGTTTTCTGCTTTTTTGCTTCCATTTGCATGCATATGCTCTTTCCTCTAGAATCTGGATATCTGTTTTCTTCTTTCTTACATCATTCCCCTGCTTAGCTTTTGTCTCTTACCTTAAATAATTTTTCAATGGTGTCAATATTTTATCCGTGTTATCTTTATTGGTAAGGAAAAGAAGAAGAATTAAAAACAGTTTCACTCTGCTTTTTTTCCCTCTTGTTTCGGGGTGTTAAGGAATATATCTTCAATAAGCATTTCGTATTGACTTTAGCAATGTTTTTTGTTCTTGGCATCATGTGTTGTTTGCCCTTTGTTAGGTACTATGTCAGGCAAATATCTCTAGAATGTTTTGGAACATCTCATTTGTTTTCTAATTTTTGTTCTGTTTTAGGTTCATCGTTTCGAGTGAGCAGCATAACTGCCCAGAGTAGCAGTGGTATTATTATTTTGTGAAGATGGTACTGGGAATAAGAACAAAGAGTAGAAAAACTGTCTCAGTCCAAGTTCACTACGTAATCCATGTTCAGGAGATCAAGCCTTGGCCCCCTTCACAATCACTGAGATCTGTGCAAACGGTATTACTGCAGTGGGAAAATGGTGATAAAACTTCTGGGTCTCTAGCATCCACCACTGCTGGCATTGAAAACATCGAATTTAATGAATCTTTCAGGCTTTCAGTTGTTATGTGGAGAGAAGCATCCAAGAAAAGCAAACACCGTGAAAGTTTTCAGAAGAACTACTTAGAGTTTAACTTGTATGACAAGACAACAAAGAGCCAACTATTGGGATCAGCCTCAATAAACTTTGCAGATTTTGGAATTATTAAGGAAACTAAAGCCTTACGCATTCTATTGAACTGCAAGAAGAGCTCCAAGCATTCTTCACAGCCATTTCTTTATGTTAGTATTCAGCCATTGGATACAGAATGTTCTAGCTCATCACCAAGCAGCAGCTATTCAAAAGGGTTGTCACTAGACAAGGAAGGAAGTGAATCGGTGACACAGTCATTGAAAGATGACGATGATGTTGAAATTGCCTCTTTTACTGATGATGATGACAATGATGACTTCCCTTCAAATACCTCCCAAACTAATAGATCTTCTTCCAAGACTACTGGAGGTTTGTCCCTCTAAATGAAAAAGTACTGAAGTTTTTTTCTCGTCTAATTGTGCTTAATGCAAAAATATCAAACGTCACCCCTTTTTCCGAAGGGATTTGTTTACATAGTATGGATATTATCAAGACATTGTTATGATTTGGCAATAATTAACCTCATTCCTGCTTAGACCTTATTGAGTGGATTTTTCCTAACAAAAGATCGCTATGATGCTTAACCATTTGTTCTGGTATTAATAGATTGTATTCCTCTTTACTTTCGGTATGCCCATATACATTAATCACATACATCACATCGTTATTGTGTTTAATTGTTAATTGGTATGCATACATGCATTAGTATGCAGTGTGCTGCTGCAATTCATGTTGTTTTGATCTTACTATATTCAGGATATGAGATGACATTATTAAACTAATTTTGCTGGCTCATGACACATTTTGTATATCAATTACCTCTATGATTTTTAACTGTTAATTTATTTCTGCATACGGTGATCAAGCATTTGAACTCTAAATGTATTGACATGTGATGTTAAGCAGATAGATATAGGGTCTTTTTCGATAACTTCTTTGTAAACACTTATAGGAGAAGAAAATAATAAGGAAAAACTAAATATACTCTCTTTTATAGATAAAACATATGACTAAGTTAATTTTTGAATGATCTATCATATTAGCTTCTTTAAAAGCTTATTTTAAACATATGCGTTAGTTAATTTTAGTTTATAGAAAACCTTATTTTATTTCTGTTTCCTGTTAGTGTTCTTGAAGAAGTTCATTGAAACATACCTATAGTGAAAGAAGTAGATAGAACCATACTGATGTATTACTGGTGACGCAATTTTACTATTGATTATCTGATCTCCAGACCAATAATAATCTATATAGCTACACAATTGTCTAGTTCTGCCATATTAACAGCCTGTTGCCATTTGATATCAGGCGGTATCAAAATCAGGGAAGGAGGAGCAGAAGGCTCTAATGGAAATTTTGTTCTATCCGCAGAAAGTTCTACTTCTAGCTTAGTTGGAAACACAAGTAGTGAAGCGCCCACACAGTTCAATGGCATCAAATCTCCCCCTTCATCTACAATTCTTGGATCAGACATGGGAAATGCTGCCTATGGCCGCCCTTCATTGCCTAAAATTTCTGTGGAAACTGTCAAACTTTCTGATCCAATTTCTGAAATTCAAGAAAATATTCAACAATCTTCTGCTTCATGCATTTCACCGAGTATACAAACAAACTTTGAAAGGCCTTTCAATTCTCAAGTAACTCAAGAGAACAGTGTGATTAAAGAAGATGACACAAGAGATCAGAGACTTAATAAAGAAGCTGTTGAGAAAGTTATCAGTATTTCAGATGTTGGGGTTATGGAGGCCAAAGAAAAAATGGAGGAGCAAAGAAAAGAACAAAAACAGTTTATGGAGAGGAATGAACTTTTAAATAAGTTCCGCAATGATGATTCTACCAAGCAAGAAAATTTCAGTAGTATTACTCTTTCAAATGAGGAACCACATAGGAAAGGAAAAAAACAGCTTGCTGAGAAGAATGAACCTCTAGAAAATGAGCTCAATAATTTTTCCAATGATGATTCTACGAAGAAAGAGAATTTGATTAGCACTACTCTTCTAAACGAGAAACCACATGGGAAGGGACAAAAACAGTCTACTGAGAAGAATGAGGCTTTACAAAAGGAGCTCAATAATTTTTCCAATGATGATTCTACGAAGAAATGGAATTTAATTAGCAGCACTACTCTTCTAAACGAGAAACCAGATGGGAAAGCACAAAGACAGTTTACTGAGAAGAACGAGCCTTCAGAAAATGAGCTCGGTAATTTTTCCAATGATGATTCTATGAAGAAAGGAAATTTAAATAATACTACTCTTCCAATCGAGAAACCAAATGGAAAAGAACAAAGACAGATTACCGAGAGGAATGAACCTTTAGAAAAAGAGCTCAACAATTTTCCCCATGATGATGATGCTATGAAGAAAGGGAATTTAAATAGTACTACTCTTCTAAACGAGAAACCACGTGGGAAAGGACAAAGACAGTTTACTGAAAGGAATGAACCTTTAGATGATAACTCCAATAATTTTTCCGATGATGATTCCACGTACAAATGGAATTTGAATGGTACTACTGCTCTAAACGAGAAACCACAAGGGAAAGGGCAAAGAAAATTTACTGAGAAGAATGAAACTTCACAAAATGAGATCAATAATTTTTCTAATGATGATTCTACGAAGAAAGGAAATTTGATTAGCACTACTCTTCTAAACGAGAAATCGCATGGGAAAGGACAAAACCAGTCTACTGAGAAGAATGAGCCTTTAAAAAATGAGCTCAATAACTTTTCCAATGATGATTCTACGGAGAAAGGGAATTTGATTAACACTACTCTTCTAAACGAGAAACCACATGGGAAAGGACAAAATCAGTCTAGTGAGGAGAATGAGCCTTTACAAAATGAGCTCAATAGTTTTTCCAATGATGATTCTACGAAGAAATGGAATTTAATTGGCAGCACTACTCTTCTAAATGAGAAACCACATGGGAAGGGACAAAGACAGTTTACTGAGAAGAACGAGACTTCAGAAAATGAGCTCAATAATTTTTCCAATGATGATTCTATGAAGAAAGGGAATTTAAGTAGTGCTACTCTTNACAGATTACCGAGAGGAATGAACCTTTAGAAAAAGAGCTCAACAATTTTCCCCATGATGATGATGCTATGAAGAAAGGGAATTTAAATAGTACTACTCTTCTAAACGAGAAACCACGTGGGAAAGGACAAAGACAGTTTACTGAAAGGAATGAACCTTTAGATGATAACTCCAATAATTTTTCCGATGATGATTCCACGTACAAATGGAATTTGAATGGTACTACTGCTCTAAACGAGAAACCACAAGGGAAAGGGCAAAGAAAATTTACTGAGAAGAATGAAACTTCACAAAATGAGATCAATAATTTTTCTAATGATGATTCTACGAAGAAAGGAAATTTGATTAGCACTACTCTTCTAAACGAGAAATCGCATGGGAAAGGACAAAACCAGTCTACTGAGAAGAATGAGCCTTTAAAAAATGAGCTCAATAACTTTTCCAATGATGATTCTACGGAGAAAGGGAATTTGATTAACACTACTCTTCTAAACGAGAAACCACATGGGAAAGGACAAAATCAGTCTAGTGAGGAGAATGAGCCTTTACAAAATGAGCTCAATAGTTTTTCCAATGATGATTCTACGAAGAAATGGAATTTAATTGGCAGCACTACTCTTCTAAATGAGAAACCACATGGGAAGGGACAAAGACAGTTTACTGAGAAGAACGAGACTTCAGAAAATGAGCTCAATAATTTTTCCAATGATGATTCTATGAAGAAAGGGAATTTAAGTAGTGCTACTCTTCTAAACGAGAAACCACATAAGAAAGGACAAAGACAGTTTATTGAGAGGAATGAACGTTTAGAAAATGAGCTCAATAAGTTTTCCAATGATGATTCTATGAAGAAAGGGAATTTAAGTAGTACTACGCTTCTAAACGAGAAACCACAGGGGACAGGACAAAAACAGTTTAATGAGAGGAATGAACCTTTAGAAAATGAGCTCAATAATGTTTCCAATGATGATTCTATGAAGAAAGGAAATTTAAAAAGTATTACTCTTCTAAACAAGAAACCACATGGAAAAGGACAAAGACAGTTTACTGAGAGGAATGAACCTTTAGAAAATGAGCTCAATAAGGTTTCCAATGATGATTCTATAAAGAAAGGGAATTTAAGTAGTACCACTCTTCTAAACGAGAAACCACATGGGAAAGGCCAAAGACAATTTACTGAGAGTAATGAACCTTTAGAAAATGAGCTCAATAATGTTTCCATTGATGATTCTATGAAGAAAGAGAATTTGAATAGTACTACTCTTCTAAACGAGAAACCACATGGGAAAGGACAAAGACAGTTTCCTGTGAGGAATGAACTTTCAGAAAATGAGCTCGATAAGTTTTCCAACGATGATTCTACTAAGAAAGGGAATTTGAGCGGTACTTCTCTTCTAAACGAGAAACCAGATGGGATAGGACAAAGACAGTTTACTGAGAGGAATGAACCTTTAGAAAATGAGCTCAATAATGTTTCTGTTGATGATTCTTTGAAGGAAGAGAATTTGAATAGTACTACTCTTCTAAACGAGAAACCACATGGGAGAGGACAAAGACCGTTTACTGTGAGGAATGAACTTTTAGAAAATGAGCTCAATAAGCCTTGTAATGATGATTCTACCAAGAAAGTGAATTCAAGTAGTACTACTTTTCTAAACGATGAACCACATGGGAAGGGACAAAAACAGCTTACTGAGAAGAATGAACCTTTAGAAAATGAACTCGATAATTTTTCCGATGATTATTCTATGAAGAAGGGGAATTTGAATAGTATTACTCTTCTAAGTGAGAAACAACTTGGCGAAGGACAAAAACAGTTCACTGAGAGTAATGAGCCTTTAGAAAATGAGCTCAATAATTTTTCCAATGATGATTCATTGATGGAAAGGAATTTAAGTAGTACTACTCTCCTAAATGAGGAACCACATGGGAAGGGACAAAAACAGCTTACTGAGAAGAATGAACCTTTAGAAAATGAGCTCAACAATTTTTCCAATGATGATTCTATGAATTTGAATAGTACTACTCTTCTAAACGAGAAGCCACATGGGAAAGGACAAAGACAGTTTACTGAGAGGAATGAACTTTTAGAAAATGAGCTCAATAAGTTCTACAATGATGATTCTATCAAGAAAGGGAATTTATGTAGTACTACTCTTCTAAATGAGGAACCACGTGGGAAAGGACAAAAACAACTTATTGAGAAGAATGAACCTTTAGAAAATGAGCTCAATAATTTTTCCGATGATGATTCTTTGAAGAAAGGGAATTTAGGTAGTACTATTCTAAACGAGAAACCACATGAAAAAGGACAAAGACAGTTCACTGAGAGGAATGAACCTTTAGAAAATGAGCTCAATACTTTTTCCAATGATGATTCCGCGAAGAAAGGGAGTCTAAATAGTATTATTCTTCTAAACAAGAAACCACATGAACACCCAAGATTGATGAGTGACAAAATCGGAGATGGGGAAAATGTAGAAATTCCTCTACAATCTGCTGAGAATTATGAGCAAATCAGCAATCAGACCCTTAATCAGCCAGAGGAAATTAATACTTTGAATGATTTTCCTGTTTATACCGCATGCCATGAAGACATTAATACAAGTGGCAAGTTTCTTAGCAATAAAACTGAATTGAAGGCTGAAGTTGAAAGGCTACGAGAAGAGCTGAGGGAAGCTGCTGCTCTCGAAGTTTCAATGTACTCAGTTATTGCTGAACATGGTAGCTCGTCAAACAAGGTCCATGCACCTGCTCGGCGCCTTTCTAGATTCTATTTCCACGCTTGTAGAGTTGGGTCTCCTGCTACAATAGCTAGTGCAGCCCAGAATGCTGTCTCGGGATTTGTTTTGGTTTCTAAAGCATGTGGAAATGACGTTCCAAGGTATACAAAACTTGATTTCGTTATTTTCTTAATTATGCTGAAATAACATACAATGTTCAGGAATAACTGAAGATCTTGTTTTATGATTCTAAAGTACAGAAATTTTGTTGGAAAAAGCTGAGCCTAAGATACTTGCATAGTGAGAATGCCCAATTTTTATTTTTTTTTGTCAATTGAAGTGTGAATAAATTTAGGAGAAGTTGGGGAAGCTACATTTGAGGAGATTATTGAGACTTATCTAAGGTGTCTTGGTCTTGTGAGGGTAAGACCAACAGAGGTTCCAATAAGGAACATGTACTAAATGAACTAAATTAAAATTGTTGGAAGAGAAAAAAATATATGGAAGAGTTGCTGAAAATTGTGTATATGAACTCCCCCAATAGAATTCATTTTATTTAAAAACAGATAATGCCTATAAATAATATTCTAATAAAACATTCCTATCATTATAAAGATTCTAATTAAACAAAGAAACAAATCAAAATATAAAAATAAATAAAAAATTACAAGGGATATTTATTGTATTTCTAAGATAATATCTTGAGATATTTCTTATATTTCTAACTCTCTCAAACTGAAGCTTGCTTAGCTTTAGTTCGTTGAGAAAACAATTTACATATCCTCAAATTAAAACTTAAAAACATAAAACATTGAGCTCCACCTAAGACAATAGTTGGAAAAGAAACTCAAGATGTTGGAGAAGTTGGAAAGAAGAATTGCTTAGTCAGATAGCTGGAATTATGATCTGCCCGGTAAACAATTCATGGCAAGAAAAGCAAGTCCTTCTCATGACTAAATTTGGAAGCTTCAAACTAATATTATTGGAGACCAAAAATGTTAAACTTTAAACTAAGTTTGATAATAATTTTTGGGATAGAAACAAGGTCAGTGCATATATAGGTGAAGGCAGGGCCAGATTAGCTTTTAGGACATATGAGGTCAAAGCATATGGGACAACTGAGACCAGTGTATCTTGGACAAAGTTGAGACCTCTGCATCTGGACAACCAAGCCCGTGTATTTGGGATAAAACCGAGCCTAGTGCGTTTGGGACAAATGCATTTGCAAGGTTGCAAGCATAGGGTTTCTCAATGGAAAAGGAGACATTGATCTATGATGCTAAATCTAAATAGAATTTTTTTGGGTGAAGTGAAAATATGGCTTTTTCTTAAATGCAATGGCATTGTTTGATTAATGTAGCCAACTCCAACTAATGGGGTAAGGCTTATCTAATGAAGTTTGGTTTATTTAACATCAGTTTTAAAAAGATATGTGGATACTTATTACAATCATTTATTAGATATTATTTCTTAGCTTACTGTTTCTTATCCATGAATAGGTTGACATTTTGGTTCTCAAATATATTATTGCTGAGAGCAATTGTGAGCAAAGAAGTTGAAAATGTACACTTTGGTGATGGTTCATGCATCAACAGTGAATGTGATGCAGTTGGCAACACTCTTCGTAAAGAAGAAAATGGCAACATAGAAAAACAATTTCATAGCTGGGAGAATCCAAAAACATTTTTAATTGCATTAGAAAAGGTTGAAGCGTGGATATTCTCTCGAATTGTTGAGTCTGTCTGGTGGCAGGTTGAATCCAAACCATTCATCTTCTCCTTCTATTTCTTCTTATTTTGCTTCTTATCTCCACTCTTAACTTTGATTTTAAACTAAAATCCCTCTTACATTTTCCTGATATTTTTTTATGTTTGCTGTCCCCAGACTCTTACACCATACATGCAGTCTGGAGTTGCAAAAAGCACTAATTCTAAGAAAGCAGATGAAAGAAGAACCCGTGTGGGTGATCAAGATCAAGGAAGTTTTTCTATTTATTTATGGAAAAGAGCTTTCAAGGATGCATGTGAAAGGCTTTGTCCTCTTCGGACTGGTTTTCATGAGTGTGGCTGCTTGGCTGTGATAGCTAGATTGGTACAATTTAAAGTTGATATTTCTATATGCAATGTATTGAATGCTGGATTTCAGGATATTCATTTTTTTTATGCATATGTATGGGTGTAGATGTATATGTACCTTATATAATTTGACAAAACATATAGCAGGGTGTCTTTTTCACTACCTTATCTGGAAATGTTGGAAGTAGTAGTAAGGGGGTATTTATCTATTTAAAGTAACTGTTAGATATATTATATCTTTTATCTTTATCTTTTATCTTTTAGTTAGTTTGTTATTATTTCTTATTTGTATTTTGGGCTTAACCCATATTTCTTCTATTATAAATAGAGAACCCTATGTGTATTTAACACAAGAGAGATTAATCCCATATATAGTTTTTCACTATATTCAACATGGTATCTAGAGCTTAAGGTTCTTTTTTGAAGAAAAAGTTTCTGGTGCCTCTGCCACTACATCCGCCGCTGCCGGTGGCGGCGCCATTTACTGCCGTCGGCGATGCCATCGTCTACCGCTGTCACTATCGGATTCTAGTTTCGACTGATGATCACATTGTTTTCATCATCTCGGTCAGGCGACTACCATGCCTTTAACGACACCTTCATCGGAGTTCCTTTTAAAGTTATGGATTTACNGCTCAACAATTTTTCCAATGATGATTCTATGAATTTGAATAGTACTACTCTTCTAAACGAGAAGCCACATGGGAAAGGACAAAGACAGTTTACTGAGAGGAATGAACTTTTAGAAAATGAGCTCAATAAGTTCTACAATGATGATTCTATCAAGAAAGGGAATTTATGTAGTACTACTCTTCTAAATGAGGAACCACGTGGGAAAGGACAAAAACAACTTATTGAGAAGAATGAACCTTTAGAAAATGAGCTCAATAATTTTTCCGATGATGATTCTTTGAAGAAAGGGAATTTAGGTAGTACTATTCTAAACGAGAAACCACATGAAAAAGGACAAAGACAGTTCACTGAGAGGAATGAACCTTTAGAAAATGAGCTCAATACTTTTTCCAATGATGATTCCGCGAAGAAAGGGAGTCTAAATAGTATTATTCTTCTAAACAAGAAACCACATGAACACCCAAGATTGATGAGTGACAAAATCGGAGATGGGGAAAATGTAGAAATTCCTCTACAATCTGCTGAGAATTATGAGCAAATCAGCAATCAGACCCTTAATCAGCCAGAGGAAATTAATACTTTGAATGATTTTCCTGTTTATACCGCATGCCATGAAGACATTAATACAAGTGGCAAGTTTCTTAGCAATAAAACTGAATTGAAGGCTGAAGTTGAAAGGCTACGAGAAGAGCTGAGGGAAGCTGCTGCTCTCGAAGTTTCAATGTACTCAGTTATTGCTGAACATGGTAGCTCGTCAAACAAGGTCCATGCACCTGCTCGGCGCCTTTCTAGATTCTATTTCCACGCTTGTAGAGTTGGGTCTCCTGCTACAATAGCTAGTGCAGCCCAGAATGCTGTCTCGGGATTTGTTTTGGTTTCTAAAGCATGTGGAAATGACGTTCCAAGGTATACAAAACTTGATTTCGTTATTTTCTTAATTATGCTGAAATAACATACAATGTTCAGGAATAACTGAAGATCTTGTTTTATGATTCTAAAGTACAGAAATTTTGTTGGAAAAAGCTGAGCCTAAGATACTTGCATAGTGAGAATGCCCAATTTTTATTTTTTTTTGTCAATTGAAGTGTGAATAAATTTAGGAGAAGTTGGGGAAGCTACATTTGAGGAGATTATTGAGACTTATCTAAGGTGTCTTGGTCTTGTGAGGGTAAGACCAACAGAGGTTCCAATAAGGAACATGTACTAAATGAACTAAATTAAAATTGTTGGAAGAGAAAAAAATATATGGAAGAGTTGCTGAAAATTGTGTATATGAACTCCCCCAATAGAATTCATTTTATTTAAAAACAGATAATGCCTATAAATAATATTCTAATAAAACATTCCTATCATTATAAAGATTCTAATTAAACAAAGAAACAAATCAAAATATAAAAATAAATAAAAAATTACAAGGGATATTTATTGTATTTCTAAGATAATATCTTGAGATATTTCTTATATTTCTAACTCTCTCAAACTGAAGCTTGCTTAGCTTTAGTTCGTTGAGAAAACAATTTACATATCCTCAAATTAAAACTTAAAAACATAAAACATTGAGCTCCACCTAAGACAATAGTTGGAAAAGAAACTCAAGATGTTGGAGAAGTTGGAAAGAAGAATTGCTTAGTCAGATAGCTGGAATTATGATCTGCCCGGTAAACAATTCATGGCAAGAAAAGCAAGTCCTTCTCATGACTAAATTTGGAAGCTTCAAACTAATATTATTGGAGACCAAAAATGTTAAACTTTAAACTAAGTTTGATAATAATTTTTGGGATAGAAACAAGGTCAGTGCATATATAGGTGAAGGCAGGGCCAGATTAGCTTTTAGGACATATGAGGTCAAAGCATATGGGACAACTGAGACCAGTGTATCTTGGACAAAGTTGAGACCTCTGCATCTGGACAACCAAGCCCGTGTATTTGGGATAAAACCGAGCCTAGTGCGTTTGGGACAAATGCATTTGCAAGGTTGCAAGCATAGGGTTTCTCAATGGAAAAGGAGACATTGATCTATGATGCTAAATCTAAATAGAATTTTTTTGGGTGAAGTGAAAATATGGCTTTTTCTTAAATGCAATGGCATTGTTTGATTAATGTAGCCAACTCCAACTAATGGGGTAAGGCTTATCTAATGAAGTTTGGTTTATTTAACATCAGTTTTAAAAAGATATGTGGATACTTATTACAATCATTTATTAGATATTATTTCTTAGCTTACTGTTTCTTATCCATGAATAGGTTGACATTTTGGTTCTCAAATATATTATTGCTGAGAGCAATTGTGAGCAAAGAAGTTGAAAATGTACACTTTGGTGATGGTTCATGCATCAACAGTGAATGTGATGCAGTTGGCAACACTCTTCGTAAAGAAGAAAATGGCAACATAGAAAAACAATTTCATAGCTGGGAGAATCCAAAAACATTTTTAATTGCATTAGAAAAGGTTGAAGCGTGGATATTCTCTCGAATTGTTGAGTCTGTCTGGTGGCAGGTTGAATCCAAACCATTCATCTTCTCCTTCTATTTCTTCTTATTTTGCTTCTTATCTCCACTCTTAACTTTGATTTTAAACTAAAATCCCTCTTACATTTTCCTGATATTTTTTTATGTTTGCTGTCCCCAGACTCTTACACCATACATGCAGTCTGGAGTTGCAAAAAGCACTAATTCTAAGAAAGCAGATGAAAGAAGAACCCGTGTGGGTGATCAAGATCAAGGAAGTTTTTCTATTTATTTATGGAAAAGAGCTTTCAAGGATGCATGTGAAAGGCTTTGTCCTCTTCGGACTGGTTTTCATGAGTGTGGCTGCTTGGCTGTGATAGCTAGATTGGTACAATTTAAAGTTGATATTTCTATATGCAATGTATTGAATGCTGGATTTCAGGATATTCATTTTTTTTATGCATATGTATGGGTGTAGATGTATATGTACCTTATATAATTTGACAAAACATATAGCAGGGTGTCTTTTTCACTACCTTATCTGGAAATGTTGGAAGTAGTAGTAAGGGGGTATTTATCTATTTAAAGTAACTGTTAGATATATTATATCTTTTATCTTTATCTTTTATCTTTTAGTTAGTTTGTTATTATTTCTTATTTGTATTTTGGGCTTAACCCATATTTCTTCTATTATAAATAGAGAACCCTATGTCTGTATTTTACACAAGGGAGATTAATCTAAATATAGTTTTTCACTATATTCAACATGGTATCTAGAGCTTAAGGTTCTTTTTTGAAGAAAAAGTTTCTGGTGCCTCTGCCACTACATCCGCCGCTGCCGGTGGCGGCGCCATTTACTGCCGTCGGCGATGCCATCGTCTACCGCTGTCACTATCGGATTCTAGTTTCGACTGATGATCACATTGTTTTCATCATCTCGGTCAGGCGACTACCATGCCTTTAACGACACCTTCATCGGAGTTCCTTTTAAAGTTATGGATTTACTCCCTTTTTCGTTGTGCATTGTGGCATGTTTGGTACTTGTTTAGAGCATCGAGGTTGCTCTTTTTTCTTTTTCAGGTGTCTTGATTGGAGAATTTTGGATTTTTTATGGTTTCACTCTCTTATTCATCCATGGCTTCTTCCGCTGGTGTCTCTTCTGACCTCATTTTTTTGTCACCATTGTGTTTGACCCGTCTATATATGTTTTTTTCCCATGGAAAAGATGGTTCTTGTTAGTTTATTTATAGCCATGGTGGCTCTTCAACAATTACATCTTTATCCACTGGTGGCATTCTTCAACGGTGATTTGCAAGAAGAGATTTACATGAAGCAACCTCCCAGATTTGTTGCTCAGGGGGAGTCTTTTGGGTTGGTATTTCGTCTTCTATGTCGTCTTGCAAATCATTATCAATTTGGTGTCACTCGAGTGTAGAAGTAGATATTTTCACTAAGTCTTTATCGATTATATTAGTAACAAGCTTTTGTACATACAATTTGTATGCACAGCTTGAGAGGGAGTGTTAGATATATTATATCTTTTATCTTTATCTTTTATCTTTTAGTTAGTTTGTTATTATTTCTTATTTGTATTTTGGGCTTAACCCATATTTTTTCTATTATAAATAGAGAACCCTATGTGTATTTAACACAAGAGAGATTAATCCCATATATAGTTTTTCACTATATTCAACTGTAACAAAATCATTTGTTCTTTTAATTCTCTTAATTTTTAGAACCCCAAGGGTGGTGTTGTTAATGTTCTTGTGAAGGTGCTAGTATACATAAATTAAAAGCTAAAACAAACATGATCCTAAGCTTCTGCCTGATTTGGTTCCAGACTTGGACTAGTTTCTTATTGTTAGTTACGTAGGGGATGGGTAGAAATCATTTTTGGGCCAACACCTGATCCTAAGATCTGGCTGATTTGGTTCCTGACTTGGAAAGGACCCTCCTCTTTCACCATGTGGCCATGACTGCAATCATCACCATGGCCTTTCTTCATAATAAATTGATTTGTATGTCAGAAAAGAATGTTAGTTAGCTAAGATTTCATAGTTGTTGGCTAATTTCCTATAAATAAAGATATTTAAGACAGGCTGGAATAGAAGTGCTGTGCATAGTCTCTGTGATCTCTCCGTCACTGTACTCTTTCTCTCTATCCCATTCTTCTCCCCCTTTACCCTCTCTGTCCTTTTTGTTTCTTTCTCTTTCCCACCTAAATTCTATGTCGGATGAAAACCATTTTGTGCTGCTTTTGGGTTGATTTGATTCTTGACAGTTTGGAAACATTGGCCTCTTCCATCTGTTCATTCATTGTTATTTACTTCTTGTTAATACTTTTTGTTTGTAGAATTATTTATATCGGTTGTTTATTGTTGAATAGTTCCCGGTTGTATGGATGTACATGTTATTGTTTTCTCTGAATGTTAATATTGTGTCTATTGATTCCTATCTTGAGAATGCAAGAAATAAAATAAAAGGCTGCCTGATTGAAATAGGACTGTTTTTGTGGTTGTAGGTGATGGAGCAGTTGGTTAGTAGACTTGACTTCGCTATGTTCAATGCTATTCTTCGGGAATCCGCTGAGGAGATGCCCATGGATCCTGTATCTGACCCCATTAGTGATTCTAAGGTTCTTCCAATTCCAGCTGGGAAATCAGGTTTTGCGGCTGGTGCACAACTGAAGAATGCTGTGAGTTATGAAACTTTTTTGTCCTATGCCTTCTTTCTTTCAAAAGACACTTAGTTGATCATAATCTTTATATATTTTTCATCTGTAAGGCTTGCTTCCTCTGTAACACAGCAATGTGCTTTACTGAGACTTTGAGAAACTTTACTCGCTGATAAAAGATGTTAAGTATTTTATGATGTTTTAGTACAAGTATTTAGAAAACAGATATAATCCTATTAGTTGTTGAATCTTAATAAACAAATGCTGCTGTAACATACAGTGGATATTAGAGACAAACTCTAAAGTTTTTACTTCTTTTAGGTCAGAAATTTTCCTCTAATATACGCAGTTCACCACAAGAAATAAATTTGATGTTCCCTGTATATTTTCAATTCATCAACCCCTTTAAAGACTTCTAAAAATTCAAAGATTTTGAATTTTGAATTTGGATGCTTTAGTAATTAGAATTATGAAATTTCTTTTTCCTGGCAGCCCCTCATCTTAAAACATGTCTTCTCAATTTTAATGTATACATTGTACTTGTAAATTTGTTGCATGATGGCCCTAAATTGAATAAATTCTATTATTTGTAAAATCAGTGATGCAAGCACATGTTGAGTAATGAAATGCTAATAAAAAAAACACGAATGTAGCAGAAATAAGCATGCTGAGGTGGATGAGTGCATACAAGAAAAGAAAGAGTAGGAGAGAATGTATCTAATGAGAAAGTTGATGGAAACTGGCTTAGTTTTGAATATAATGCTTCAGTTAGGAAAGTGTATCAAATGGAAGTAAGTTAGTCCAATCAAAAGAGTGGAGAAAGACCTAAGAAAACTTGAGAAACCATTTAGAAATACCCTCCTGTAAATGGTTCTACTGAAAAACTGGTTCTTGATAGAGCCCAATATCCATGTAGCCAACCTTAATAAAATAAGTTTTGTTGCAATTCTATGAAGGATATGTGATGTTTGTTCCCTCGGATAACTTTTTATTATTTGTACTCAGATTGGTGACTGGTCAAGATGGCTTTCAGATTTATTTAGCATTGATGATAGTGAATCTTGCGAAGTTACCAATGAAAACGATGAACCCAAATGTGAATCATCCTTCAAACCTTTCCTTCTCCTCAATGCCTTAAGCGATTTGATGATGCTTACCTTGGACATGCTTGCAGATGGGTCTACGAGAAAAGAGGTTGGATCAAACTTCTTTATTGTTGATTGGTCTTTCTTCTTTCATTGTTAATGCTTTGCGAAACTAATTATAAACGTATCATGCAAACAATTCTGCAGGTTTGCCCTAGATTTGGTATTTCATTGATTAAACGAGTTGTCAACAATTTTGTTCCTGATGAATTCTCCCCAGGCCCTATCCCGGATGCTGTTTTCGATGCCCTGAACAGTGAGGTTGGTTTATTTTTAGCATGCTTGGTGAAAATAACAAGCAATAAGTATGGTGTAGGAATGGATTATTGAAATTTCAACATTCTAATTTCCATGTCTTTTTGTTTTATTGGATTTTGTTATTTTAGGATATTGAGGATGATGTAGGAGCTATTACAAGCTTGCCATGTTCTGCTGGTCCCACGTTCTATGCACCACTTCCAGCTTCTTCAATTCTAGGCATGCTACAAGAAGCGGGAACCAAAACTTCACTAAGACGTGGGTCATTTGCTCTCAAAAAATTATATACCAGTGATGATGAACTTGATGAGTTGGATTCACCACTTTCTGCACTTGGCATGGATGAACCATCGACTGCACTAATTAAGGGAGGCCGTAAGGTTGTACGATATGAGCTCTTGCGGGAAGCCTGGAAGAGTAGTGAATAGTCAATGATGACTCTGTGTTCCTATCAATGTTTGTTTCCTTGTATATAATACACATTTTTCATTTAGCCCAGAATATTGTCCCTTTGTTTTTAAAATAAAAGTATTGTCCTTGTAATCTTATACTTTTTTACCCTTAAAAGTTGCAAGAAAGTTACAGTCATTTTCATATAGATGTTTTCTTCCAAGACATCCTACTATGAGCAGTTCTTACCTGGTCTGGGATAGTAAAATATTACTCCAGTTTGATGGATACAGATATGAAATCTGATTCCTCCAAATTGATGAATGTATTTTAGAGGACTTTAGAGTTTCAATGCCAATGGATATAATGAAAAAGTAGGTAGAAGAAGATCGAGTTGATACGGAGTGGGAGTGTAATTACTGTGTTCAGGGAATATAAATAAGGTAAAATTAGAGTTTGAGAAATAAATTAAAAATTCATGGTTCAGGAAATATAAATAAGGTAAAATTAGGATTTGAGAAATAAATTAAAAATTCGTGGTAAAAGTAAAAAAATTTTAACCTTTAATGGAAGGATAGTTTTAAAAATAAAATTTGAGGAGGTGAAAGGAATACAACGTGGTTGGTTTAAAGGTAAAAGAATTTGAAAAGATGGTTTAAAAATATAAGAATTTGAAAAGGTGGAGGGAGCATGGCGCGGTGTCGGAGGGAGAAAGGCTCATCTAAATTTGAACTCTCTTATAAACCATCAACAAGGCTTGGGTGCTTCTGCCTACACTTCCCTGTTTTTCTTTCTGTACTCCCATAAAATATTATATCTCTATTCTACCCTTCAATTAAATTATATTAAAAATCATAATTCCACCCTTCAATTAAATCACAGCATCGCGCCTCCCCATTACCTCCTCACCATTCTTCATCTCCTTCTTCTGTTACCATTATCCTTCTTTCAGAACGTCTTCTTCCAGACTATCGAGCCAGCAAGGCGATCAACCAACGCGCCGTTGATGAACGTGGCACTTCCTACGACTGAGGGTCTTTCCAACGCCGTCCTCGGAAGCTGCGGCCGCCTCTTGGAGCGGGTTCCGGTCATCACTGTTTCTCTCTGTTGTTATTGTGTGGATTAGGATTTTCAATTGGGTTATAATAATTTTCTTACAATAGTATTTGAAGGTGTTGGGATGAATGGCGTGAATGAGATTGAAGAGTATTTTTTTCACATTCGTTTTTCAGAAAAAAAAAACATATAAAAAACAATCCTATTTAACTTATATTTTTAATTAGAAAAATAAAAATAAAGGTTATAAAAGAACAAGACAAGAATAGTAAGTAAGCTCTAGCGGTGCATATAAAAAAATTTCGGAAAAGATATTTTTAATTCAGAAATATATTTTTAAATATTTATTTTGAATTTTATTTTATATTTTGAATTAGATGCTCTGAAATACAAAGATATTATATGAACAAGTGTTTTAAAAGGTATTTTTGGATTTAAAAATGTTTCTTAAAATACTTATTTTGAAATTTCTTTTATTTCAAATTTGTTGTTTCGAATTTTATTTCTAAATATTTGAAAATATATTTCGGATCATTAATTCAAAAAATTTTAAAAATAAAAAATGTAAGAAATTTTATTATATTTATAATGTAAAATAATGTTGGTATTATAGCTTTTATGGGGTGCACAAAGAAAAAAGTGGGGTGTGGAAGTATAGCCCAAGGCTTTTTCTTCCGCATTCTCGCAATTTCTTCTCATACCCAAAATTTTTAAATCATCATTTTACCTTTTGTAAGAAAAATGATTTTCAGATTTTACAAACCTTTTGAAGAAAGTTTTCTGAAATTTTCCGAATGTAATTTTCGAAACGAGATTTTTGAAACAAAAATTTTTGGGACGTATAAAATGTATTTTAGAACAAATTTTCGTGAATAAACTTTTTGAAACCGTAATGTCTTTTGAAACAAGTTTTCCAGAACACTCTCACATAAAATATGATGTTCCGAAAGCAGCTTTACATAACACATAAAATGCAACAAATTATAGAAGAGGAATTACAAAATTCTTATATTTAGTTAGGTCTCATACATGTCTGAGTTTATTTTATTCCTATGGCCTCAGTACAACGAAAAATTTAATTGAAAAGCAATTTGGTGACTTTGAGTATAATTATGATTATGTGGATAAAAAGTGATAAATTATGTATTTATATGATTGTTTATATGTCATAACTAAATTATTTTGGCTTATCTTATTTTTTATTTAAAAAGATCATATGAAGTAAAAAAACTGAAAAATTATCTAATACAAAGTCACTTATTTTTTTGTTACGGGTTAATTATTTACAATAAAATTATACAATGATAGTTTCTACATTATTTTCTATAAACTTATAGAATGATTTACCAGACACACTTTCAAAGTTTTTTTCTTTTCTTTTCTTTTTTTAACTTCTAGCTGTTATATTTTTGTTTTCAAATATAACCTTAATTTTGAGATCATTAAGGTCTGATTTTACCGCATTAAATTGGAAATAACTGAAATTTTGATCAAACTAACCTCCTGACTTGTTCTGCATACTTTGAGAATTTCTTTTAAATGGAAAATTTACTACTTAGTTCCTCAGTCCCACCTAATATTTTTTACACGTACACACTTCACTTACCAATGACATGAATTGAATAATTCTTATATAATTAACAAATTTAAATATTAAAACCATATCTCAATTTATAATTTTTTAACATATCATAAAACAACATTCAACTATATCGATCTTTTATAACCCAGAGAAGGAAAAAATGACTTCATGAAAAATGAGTTTTCAATGACTTCAACATGGGACGGAATTGAGAATCCCAGGGAAGAAAAGGACACATCACAGGGTGAAATAGGATTAATATAAGTATGAATCCTATATTGTGTGAAGGTCCTAGTTTTCAGTGCAAGCAATGTTGTGTAAATTGGGTCAACTTTCTATTATTGGTTCATTCTCTCTTTTCTCGTTTCCTCTCTTATTCTTTTGTCAATGAGCACTTTTCCTGCATTGTCTGAGCTATAATTTTGGCCATCCATATATTAACAAGTTCTTATAGCCTGCAGTGAATTCACTGTCATGGTTTATCCATGATCCATTTGCCATTGAGTGTCATATTCTTTTAAGCGAAAGGCTACAGTTCATGAAATAATAGAACTACATTCATTAAAAACTACTTAAAAGTTTGATTTTAGTAGTAATGGGTAGCCTATTCCTGGAGCAAATAAAAAAACAGACAACAAATTTCCTACAAGAAAAGTACAAATCTGCTAGGATGACATTTACTGATGTTACTGAAACTGAATTGTAAGTGCATGTGTGTGTTTGTGAATAAACAGAATAATGCATGATTTATTGATGACAGTTTATATGACCAGTAAATAAATGTAGCTCCTTTACTGTTAATTCATATTCATAGTTTCCAGAAGAGTTGCAGCTTTGAGATTAGAGAGGCATTAACATACCTATAATACAATATCATCAGGCTGGCAGAGGAAGCAACAAATAAGGATGATTGCAGTCCTGATGCCAAAACTATGACCAGAATTGCCGAGGCATCATTTGACATAGATGAGTATTGGAGAATTGTTGATATTCTTCATCATAGGTATGCTTCTTCATTGACACCCTTTTTTGTATATCTTTAAGCTGACATTATTATACATTTCTCTGGAGTTTATATCCCACTGCTTCTTTACTATATCGTTTAAAGTGCAGGTTGTATAACGTGGATTGGGAGCAGTGGAGGCAAGCATACAAAACAATGGTTCTTCTGGAATTCTTGCTCACCCATGGCCCTCAAGAGTTTGCTCCTGAATTTCAATGTGATGTGGAAATTATTGAAGATCTAGGAGGATTTACTCATATTGATGAAAAAGGGTAAACCTTAAATCTGAATCCGTTTATCTGTGGTAAATAACAGTTAAATATGGATCATAGTTTGTTGTCTAATTTACCACACAAGTTTTTTTGTTTTTGAAGTATATATATAATACAAGTTAAAAACTGAAAGGACGAGGAAAATGCATACAAGGGTGGAAACTAAAGACAAAAGTTGCAAAAGTGTCAGAATGCTAGGTAGAAAATTGTGAACAAGTTTGAAGTAAATAAAACAAAAAAGAGGGTCTGAAAATATTTTAACATTTAAGTATGATATGACAGTGTAATAATAGTTCAAAATAAATTTAACCACACCGAAGGAGCAAAGGTATGAAATCATAAACCGAAAACATGGGGGCTAATAGATTTCCATTTTTTAAGTATACCTATGGCAATCAACAGGTTCAATTGGGGATCCAGAATGCAAAAACTATCAGACGAAATAGTGAAGCTTTTACAGAATGCAGAAGCTCTGACAGAAGCACGTTTGAAGGCTCTGAAAATAACAAACGGAATACAAGGGTTTGGAAGTTCAGTGAAGTGTCCATCTCCAACATCGTCGTCCTCCGCAGGGTCTTCATCGTTTTATTCATTTTTCACCACAAGCACCCCTGATAACATGTTTCACTCTAATGATGAGTTAAATAAACAGAAATCAGGGTCCATAGGAAATAACAGCAATATTAATATAATGCTACCACCAAGGAACTTGAAGCATGTGACCCAAAATCACCTTTGGAAAGGTTTTGCAGGTGAAGAGAAGAATATTTTGATTGATTCTACGGAAGATGAATATGTGGAAAAACCAAAAGGGTTTGTGGGTGAAATTTTCGAAAAGATCTCTGCTGTTAGTCCCGTCAAAGGAGAAAAACGTGGAAAGGTTGAATTTAGATGCCTATCTGATGTTGGCAAAAAGGTCACCCAACAGAAATTTGATCGTCAATACTCATTTTGGTTTTGAAGGCACAAAAACCAAGCCACATTAGTCACACTCACTCACTCGTTATATCATATTCAAATTCCTCTTTTATATGAGATTCAGTTTTTAATCTCAAAATTGTCATACTTTATCAGTTCCCTCCTACTCCTAATAAAAATAATCTCATACTTAGATTTTTAGAACTTTTTATAAAGCATCACCATTAAATCTATCAACTTAAATTAATATAAATATTAAACTTTAATTTATTAAAATAGGATATTAAAATATGAATATATTGCTTCAATAACTCTTTTTTAAAAGGAAGAAAATTATGCGACTTTGATTTCCTATTTAGTAAATTAGATTAATAATTTTATAACTTCTAAGCGATAAAAAGAATGTTTTTTAAGGATGTTTGTGTTTTTTTTTTATCGAAAATCGAAAATAACTCTGCAGAATTCACGTGTCTTGTCTTTTGCCTGGGCAGTTCCCTAGCTTGAGAATACACGTGTGTGAGATCTCGAGGACTACTAATAATACCTGTGAACAACAATTGAACAAAAAGATATGGACGTTTGATGTTGAATTGTACTTATTGTTAAAGAATATGAATAAAAAGTGATAAGAAAATATGATACTGGGTCCGTGACTCATAGGAGGATGCATTATTAGATGAACAATTTTGGAGTGATGAATGATATGTTTGAAAGTAGAAGCTTGAGAAAAATCCAAGAAATATGAAATGGTTTTGGTACAATTCTAAAGATTCACAATACAATTTTTGACTCTTCACGAAAAAAGCACTTTGATGGGTGGTGGAGGGGCAAATGTGTAATGTTCCTTACATCATCAATCATGCTTCGCCATGTACAGCTTTTCTGAAATAAACCATATTTAATACTTTTCTACACTTAATTATGCACATATTTCTAGGGTAAAACTTTTCTACACTACTCTAGGTATAATCCATGCTATTTTCCAATCAATTTTTGAGTTCCTCCTTCCTTTTTATTTTATTAAATACACTGCATCACATAAAACTTGAAATTCAGTTACAAAACATGGTCTGCTTGTTCGTATTTTAACACAAGTATTTGTTGTTGGGTCCATAATCTAACATTTTTATGAGTAATTATATATTAAAGATATCAATGACACCTATTAATATTGTTGTCTCAAATTCTATTTTGTAATGGGTAAATAAATAAAAACATAAAGCACAATTATATTTCAACAAATAGATTACGTCCTTATATCACGCTAAGTTTTTTTTTTCTATTCTGATTTTCCATTATCAATAAGAAATATAGGATTCTCTAAAAAAAATATGTATTGATATAAAAAGTCAAATTGTGTGTTTTTCTTTTAGTTTTTTTAATTAATATTATTACAGTATATTCTTTTTTACTAATTGATAGTAGGACGGTCAATCTTTTAATCAGCAAAACAGTTAGAATTCCTCACATTTATCATTTTTTCTTTCGGAACCAAACTAATTTTAACAAACAAAAATTGAATTTAAAGATAAAAAGTGAAAAAAAAAACACAAACTATCGATCCCAATACTAAATCAAGATTCTAACACATACTATAGATAATTATTTTTTAGTTAAGTTTGATTCTAACATTGATTAGTTAATGATACTTTGACTAATATAAAATATTTAGTTAACTTGATAGTATTGTGATAAAACTATGCTCACCTCCTATGAAGTTTTCTTAAAAAATATCCTATCTTTTTAATTTTTAAATAGATGTTAAGTTTGACATAGATAAACTAATTGAGGTGAGTCACTTCAGTGCATTGAACAGAAATTAATGATTTCAAGCTTTGATGATCTCCCTTTGCTTATGACGAGAAATTAGTGTTTTTTTTCTCTTTGGATCACACACACTTCCTTGTGCCACTATTTCAAATATGAACAAAAGATAAGATTTGAGATTTGACAATGATTTTTTTATAATTTATAGGTTTAGCGTTTATTTAATATTAAGAAGCTTTGACTTGAGTGATAAGGAATATATTTACTTTTCTAAGAAATTGTAGGACTTGTTTTTTGGTATAATTTTTTCCACCTTTAAATCCTTTTATTCTCTAAATTAAGATTTTTTTTCCAGTTTTATTTCCCCTAAAATTCCCATTTTCGATCTAAATATTTGTGGTTTGTAATGAATTTGAGATGTGAAGTAATTCCAAAAGTGTAGAAGTAAAAACTTTATTAAAGAATATATACATTTTCAAGATTTTATTCAACGAGGCACTAGAGTTGGAAGATGATAAAAGTTGATGCTTTTAGTTTTATTTTGGATGAAACGCATTCTCTAGAAGAAGAATTAATTGATAATTTACTAGAATTTGAGAGTTACACGTAACAGAAAATAAAAAGACTAATTTTCGTTACATTTTAAAACGAAAAAGAAGAGAGTATTCAACCTCCCTAAATTTTCCTCCTTTTGCATATAGAGATTACACACTTTAATTTTATTTTAATTGATTTTCAAACTTTATCCTATTAACGAATAAATATTTCAAAACGTATTTTTTCTTTTGTAATTAATCCTTTTTCAAAAACGAAAAAAATTGCTTGATTTATAACTTCTTCTTTTATCATGAATATTTTTTATACATAAAGTCTAATGGAAAGTGAGAAAAAAGAACTAGAAAAGAGTGGGAAACAACTAGACTGAACATACAATTTTATAAGAAAAGATAAATGTGATTATATATATACAGGAGGAGATCATATGGATGAATTGTCTAAGAAAACCTTATAAATATAAATATTAATATAATGTGTAACATCAACTAAGTAGTATAAAACTACTAAAATAAAATATACATAGATAAGAACTTACAAGTAACTTGAGACTACTAGAATAAAAGATTCTATCAATCACAGATTAAAGATTGTATATTATGTTGTTTTTTTTTTCAACCAAAAATTAAATTCCCTAAAATATATCTTCCATGAGCTAACACTATTTAAGTGATCATTGCAAAAAAAAAAAAACATACCCAAAAACAGACAATATAAAAGCAAGGGTAAACTAATGATAAAACATTTTATCATAAAACAATAAAATTTCATTATACATCACATTTGACACATACAATAAACATTCATCCTAAATATGTCACAGACTTAGACTTGACCATCCGGATATAATATGGATGTCAAGCTACGGTGGTTCAAGTACTTGTGATGGCCTCCAACAATACTTATTCAAAGCCAAATACCAACTCATGTCATCCATAAGCTTAGTCTGTCAACACCTATGGCCCTAACCAGTGACCATAAACTAAGACCTCTTACTACTCTCCACGACATAACGATCAATCTCTACTTAAGATTAGGGTTATTAAGAGCGTCAGGATAAACCTCCGGATTGACTTCGGCCATTCATACAAACATCACTACAGGGCATCACCATGTAACTTCTCAATGAGTCATAGAATTACGTCCATCAATACCATTCACATAATCAACCACATATCCCTCTCATAATCTCTCTCTCTATCTCTCTCACACACACTATATTGTTTTCAATTCATAAATATATAAAAACTTACTTGAAAATCTAATATTTTCGCTCAGTCAGCTCGCTCAGCTAGAAGTGTTTGTTAACTCTCGCTCAACCACCATGACTCACTGTGCAAAAACAAAAACAATGGGTTTTACTTGCTCAATATATAACTATACTCGCTCAACAATAAGTGTTATGCTCACTCAGCTAGAATACATTCGCTCAACTAAACTACATAATTTTACAATACCAAAAGTTTACATCCCTCCCCCACTCATGATCTATTCTATGTTTTTAGTTTTATTTTGGATTAAACGCATAATCTAGAAGAAGAGTGAAAAATAACTAGGTTTAAAATAGAAAAAATAAATATGATTATATATATATATATATATATATATATATATATATATATATATATACACATATATATATATATATATATATATATATATATGTATATGTATAGGTATATATGTATATGTATGTATATATATACACACATATATATATATATATATATATATATATATATATATATATATATATAGAGGAGGAGGAGATGGGATCGACAAGTGGTATTAAAAAACCTTAAAAATATTAATATCAATGTAATGTTTATTTATAATTAATTTGATTGAGTGAGAAAAATAAATATTTTATTTATAGTTTTTCTTTTTGTTTTGAATTATTGAGGTGGTGAGTGGTAACCATGCTTAGTTTCTTAATCATAAATAAAAATATAGATTCTTCCTGAGATAGTCTCTGCTAAAAAAACTATGCAGAAAAAATGTGTTTATAATTCTCAATTGATTAATTTCTATCTCTCTTTGTAATGTCCTTAACCAACGATGTCTACCCTGTTTTCACTCCTCCATAAATAATTTAACAACGTATGTTTATTTTTAAAATTACTTAATTGTACTTTTAATCTGTAAACTTTTTTCAAATTAAGTCATTATTCTTAAAATTATCTTGACATAAACAGAATAAATGAAAGAGATTCAGAAGACTCACTTTTCCAGTAAGGTCTTGTTATCTATATTGGCATCCATCTCATGCACTAAAAAGTAACTTTAAGATGTGAGTTGCATCTCAAATCATTAATTATTTTAAAACACCTTATTAATGTTTTTTATTACTTTAAAAAATTTAATGATATGAGACACAGTTACACTTCAATTATGAGACACAGTTACACAATTTTTAATCAGTAAAATCTAAATCTCATTAATATAATTTATGAATTAACAACTGAACCTGTTGATTAAATTAACTATTTTAAAATCTTACATCTCATATTAATTTAGGCGTTTTTAATTTTAAATTGGGTATTTATTTTTGATATATTGAATACTTAAAATTGAACATTTTTAATTTTTTTTCACTAATTGGATAATGTTATTATTATTTTATCTGTTATGGTTTTTAATTATCTCCAAATATTAACAATGTAAAGTTTTATGATTAACATAAAATAATATTATAGTCAATAAAAGAAATAATGAATTTTA